CCGAACTTGTGATGCTCACAAGCTGGGACTTTGGACTCGCTGTGCGCCTTGGGAAAATGGCTTAACCTCTCTGAGGCTGTCTCCAAATTCATTAAAATTTGGAGAGCGACACGACCTTAAAGGGAGCTTGTGAGAGTCATATGAGACGGTGCGTGCATATAAAGTGCTCAGCGTAGCGAGCGCGCAGGGCATCATTCTTAGCGTCACATTCAAACACTTTTTTTTCACACCAGTGACACTCCACATCATGTACAACCTCAAGAATGGAATCCTGATTAGAATGAGTTATCCTCCATGTGTGTACACTCTACTGTCATGTATATCTAAAAAGAAGGTGTGCACTCCAGCTGCTAGGAAATGCAAAGTGGCGTGACCTCTTTGGAAGAGAATGGGGCAGTCTCTGATACAAGTACACACCTTTCTGACAACCCAGAAACCCACTCCTAGATATTTGCCTAAGAAAATGGAATTCATATTACCACAAAACCTGTGTGTGAATGTTTTCATGGCTTTTTTCCCAGGTGCTCCAAACTGGAGTCAGCCCAAATATCCTGAACCTGGTAAATTAACAGTGATACATCGATGTTAATGGAGTGTTACTCCGTGATATTAAGAAACAAACTGTCAATATATGCAACAGTGTAGACGAATTTCAAGTGTATTATAAAGGGCAAAAGAAGTCTGTCTCAAAATGTTGCATACTGAGTACATACAAAGGATATTCTGGAAAAGGCAAAACTGTAGACAGGTGCCTTCTAGGGATTGGCGTTGGGGAGGGGGTGACTAGGAAGGGAAGAAATGTTAGAGGGTTCTATGTCTTGATGGTGGTGGCCTCGGTGGCTGTGTGGCCACATGTTTTTGTGGAGACCCATAAGGCTGTACACTCAGAGGATGCATTTTGTCTTTATGCAAATTATATCTGTATTTAAAAATCTTTAAAAATGTCATTTCCCCCAGCTGAGATTTTTCTAGTTACTGAGAAGTGCCTCATAATGAAGATTAGATGAAATCATGGATCCAGAGTGCCTGCTTTCAGAGGTTCTCAATTAATGCTTTTACTTAAGCTGGCAATTCCTAAACTCCCCCCTGAGATGGTGGCTTCACAGTAGCAAAAGCCTTGTTAGAGTTTGAAAAAAAGGCTTAGAAGGCAATTTGATGAGTAAGGGATTGAGGGACTCAGAAATTAGGAACTAGAACTGGGACAGAAAGTCCCTTTGCTGGGGGAAGTAGCAAGGGGGAACAACTGTGTAATGAGTGTAAGGTCCCCTTTTGGGGTGACAAAAATGTTTTGGAGCCTTCAGAGATGAGGGTTGTACAACATTGTGAATGGACTAAATGTCACAGAGCTGTTCACTATTAAAATGGTGGATTATACTGCCGTGACCTGCACAGACAGCATCAACAAAGGATTCTCTAGTAGGGGTGATGGGAGATGAATAAAAACACAGAGACAAAGATGACACAGAGGTAATTTCACAAAAAGCTGGGGCCAGGTGGGAGACTGCACTCTGATGGTGCCACAGAGACCCAGAACTAGCTCCGCACATTCATTACATAGGGTCTCTGAATCAGGAAGTTAAACTACAGGGGCATTGTAAATTGTCCAAGGCTTGTAAGTTGTCAAAGGCTTCTTTATGCACTAAAAATTTACAGAGCTAGAAACATTTTTTTGTAGCTCTCCTACTGTTGCAGTGCTAAGAACATTTTGCTATTATCCTGCTGAACCCAGGACACTCATTGTCCAGGGATGCCTGATAACTGTTAGCATCAGAGCTGAGAGTCAAGGCTGATAACATCCTCACCTTTGGCAAGCAAT